TAGTCCTCAACTTATGACCACAATTGAGCCTAAAATTTATGTTGCTAAATAAGACATTTGTTAAGTGAGTTTTGCCCCATTTTACAACTTTGCTTGCCACAGCTTTTAAGTGAATCACTGCAGATGTTAAGTTAGTAACATGGTTGTTAAGTGAATCTGGCTTCTCTATTGCTGTTTTACGCCCTCCCCAGGCTTCAGAAAAGCCTTTGAAGCCNTTAATGCCTAGTTCATTAGTGACTATTACAGCTGCGCTGTACATTAACTGGTTTGTTTCCAAGATGGATCCCGGCTCAATTGTTGTTGTTGTTATTATTATTATTATTATTATTATTATTATTATTATTATTATTATTATTATTATTTTCATTTGTTTATCACAAAAAATGTTTTAACTTTGGAATAAGTATTTTAATCTATGAGGGGTCCTTGATGCTCTCTGACTGGTTGTTTTGTTGAAGACGTTTCATTACCTAAACTGCCTAATGTCATCAGTGCTGTTACCTAGTTTGGGTAATGAAATGTCTGCTTCAAAATAACCAAGCTCAGAGAGCCCCAAGGACTCCCCATTTCAACCTTGAATTACAAATTTTCTCCCTTATTGGCATTTTAATTAAATGTGCTTATTCCCACATAGAGGTGATTCTGTATGACAAAAAATTGGAATAAGATTTATATAGTTTAAAAATACTGTATCATTTTTTTACAGGCTTGCAATTTAAGGTATTGGCCTTTTGGCATATTTTAGTTAAATCCATTTTTACATTTATGCAATACACTTGTCCTTATGTGACACACACACACACAATTGTTCATTTGCTCTTTAGTCATTCCTTATATTCAAATGCTCCTTTCTCAATTTACTGCATTTTTGCTGCATTTTGCCATCTGTCTTTTCAGAATGCCTTGAGGAAGAGTTCCAGATAGCAAGATGCTTCAGAAAGCTTTTCTGGCTAGTTATGTTCAGTTTGTGTTTTGTGCCTGGTGTGAAGCAAGGGTCAGGTGTAAGGACTATTTCATCAACCGCACACTGATTTCAGGCTGCACTTCCAACCATCTGCAGCTTGGATTGTTGCCAAGTCTCCAATGTCTTGCTAGAATTTATAGTGAAGAAGTGAAGACAAATAAGTGCAAATAGAGGAAAAGAAGTACATTTATAGGAATGAAGTTGATATTTCTTTAGGTGCTTGTTAGCGTTAATAAATTGTAATATTATCCTCCTCTTTGCACCATTCATATCTTATGAGACTCCCAGAATCGGGTCTTTTATTAAAATACAAGGATAACAATGGATTGACCTTTGATTGTAGTCAGGAATTTGGATTAATATCTACCCTGGGCACCATGCCAATTATTTTGATATTAGAATAGGAAAGCTTGAGAGTTTTTTCATTTAATTTCATTTCATTCTTGTTATCTAATTTTGGAAGATTTGTTTTTTAAAATTATTTATATTGCTATTAAGGTCATCTAATATTTAAATAAACTTGAATATGTTGATGCTGCTTTTTTAAGTTTAGTATTTTGATACCATGTTCAGTTCAGTTCAGTACAAAAATGTTGGGTTTTAAAAATTTAAACGATTCCTTATTTTTCCTGTGCACCGCTTAGAGAGTCCAAGCAACGGGTTAATTCAGTCTGGTTGCCCTGGGACTGAGGAAACTTTTTCCTTGGCCACGCCTCCTGGTGTTGCTAATCCCCAGAATTTTTCCTCAATCTGCCCGTTCAGGATTATTTTGTGTGAGCTCCAGCTAAATTATTCTCTAGGCTTGGACTCTCCACTCTAAACTACTTTTTCCTTCATTTTATTACCTTACTTCCCTACTACCTTCAGAGATCTTATTATTTTCTTTGCAATTCTTGGTAGGAAGTATGCGTAGTGGTGGTGGTGGTACTCCATCGCCGAGGCACGCTAGGTCGGCTTCGGAGGCCTGCCGCTTGCCTTTAAAAAGCATGGCAAAAGGCAGCAAGGCATCTGGTGGTCCCAGCGACTCCCTGCAAGGTCCCCTTATTTGTTTTAGCCGAGTTTTTTTCATTTCTCGCCCTTCCTGGACGGAGCCTGCCATGGAGAGGCGTGTGGCCGCTGTTTAACAGTGCGGTCACAGCTTTTGCCTCCTCATTACCCCCATGTTGCAGCAGTGGCCATTTTGGAGAACAGATACTTTTCGTGCCCTTTCCTCACAGCCATAACTGCTCGGCCACGCTTCAGCAGAAGGCCGTAAGGTGGGCAGTGGCTCTGTCGGGATCTCCGGCTGGGCTTCTGCCACCCACACCGTTCACGAGGCGGCGCTGGTTCCTAGGCCACCGGCACGGGGAGGGTCCTCTTGCCAATTTTTCCCACAGCCTGGCCCTCCCTGCCCTTCTGCCGGGCCTTGCAACCTTGGCTGCAGGCTTCCTACTCACCTCCTACACCCGTGGCTGGGGGAGAATCTGTTTTTTTTCTAACTGGACATTTTTCCTTTATTGTGTAACATTAATCACCATTAGAATTTTTTTGCATTTTGTCCTTATCTTTTCTCATTATCCTTCTCTGTTTTTCCAGCATAGCCAGCCAGAGCCTCTGGTCCTCCTGCCTTCTACCTGCGTTTGGCCTATCATCTTGTGGTGTCATTGGCCATGGAGCTACCAAGCCCATCGCGTACCTCTGATGGCACTGCCCCACTCCCTCCTGCCCTCTCAAGAGGGAGCTCATAAATCAGAAAGTTCTCCATCTCCTGGAGATAAACGCAATAGAGCAGGTCCCCCTTGACCAGGAAGGAAAGGAGTTTTACTCTATTCTTTTCCTGGTACCCCAAAGCTCGGGGGGTGGGTGGAGGGCCATCTTGGATCTCAAGAACCTCAACAGGCACATCGCCTACTGGAGGTTCAAGATGCAGTCCCTCCAATCCATCCTGGTGGGGATCCGCCAGGGAGACCTCCTCACATCCATCGATCTAAAGGAGCCATACATCCACATGCCCATCCGCTCTCAACACAGGAGGTTTCTGCAGTTCTTTTATGCCGTCCGACACTATCAATACAGGGTCCTTCCATTCGGCCTGTCGTCGGCACCCAGGACCTTCACAAAGGTCCTAGCACTAGTTGCGGCTCAGCTCAGGCGAAGACCCATATGGCTCCAAAGGTACCTGAATGACATCCTCATCCAGTCGTCGTCCGGGCAACAAGCCTTGTGAGATCTCCACATCACCATGAGGGCTCTTAGGGATCACGGGCTCTCCCTAAACCTGCAGAAAAGTCTTCTCACCCCAACCACCAAGCTAACTCACCTGGGGGCGGTGATAGACACCTTGTCGTGCAGGGTGTTCCTCTCCCAAGATAGATTAGATGGCCTAGTGTCCATGACCCACAAGGTGTTAAGGGCGAAGCAGGTTCCGGTGATTCTCCTATCACAGCTGTTGGGGAAGATGATCTCATGCATCTCGATCCTCCCCTGGGCCCGGCTCCACTCCAGAGCACTGCAATGGCTTCTCCTGCCCCACCAGAGAGCCAACAGGAACAACTCATCCATGATGGTATGCGTCCCTCTGTCGGTGAAGAGGTCCCTCTGGTGGTGGAAGTCATCGCTCTCCTCAATGGACATCTGTTCAAAGAGCCTTCCAGGTTGGTCATCACGACAGATGCTAGCCTTGCCGGCTGGGGGGCACACATGAGACATCTTGTGGCTCAAGGCAAGTGGTCCCCATCAGAAGCAACCTGCAGCATCAGCTTCCTGGAACTGCGGGCTGCAAGACTAGCTCTCTGAGATTTCCACCAATCCATCCGACATCACCACGTGCTCCTGATGACGGACAATGTGGCCACCAAGGTGCACATAAACTGCCAGGGAGGCACCAGGTCCAAAAAAACCTATGGCAGAGGTGGAAGCCCTGGGTTGCTGGGCAGAATGTCATCTAGCGTCCATCTGTTCTGACCACATTTCAGGAGTGGACAACACACAGGTGGACTGGCTGAGCAGGACTACCATAGACTCTGCAGAGTGGCGGTTGGACCCGGCTCTGTTCCGCCAGCTGTTTCACAGGTTTGGCACCCTAGTAGTTGACCTCTTTGCCAACAGGGATAACATGCAACTCCAGTGGTTCTTCTCCCGCTTCCACTCACCGGGGTTGGAGGGGACAGATGCTCTCCGGTGCAGCTGGCCCCAGGACCTGCTATATGCCTTCCCTCCTCTCCCGCTTCTTCCACAAGTAAGATCACCACAGAAAGGATGGAGGTGGTCCTCGTGGCCCCTCACTGGTCCCAGAGGTTGTGGTATGCTGACCTTGTCAGCCTGTCGGTGTCCCCTCCATGGCAGATCCCTCCGGATCAGGTCTCTTTCAGCCAGGGGGCCATTGTCCATCCAGAACACCAGAACATCCAGTGGCTCCAGCTGGCTGTCTGGCACTTGAGGGGCAAGGGCCTATTGGAGGAGGTGGTACATTCCATTCAGGCTTCTAGACACCCTTCGATGACCATAATATATGATTCTTCTTGGGCTACCTTCACCAAGTGATGTGACAACTTGCAGCCTGACCCTGTCACTGTTCCTGTGTCCCACGCCTTAGACTTTCTCCAAGGAGGCCTCAAAAAGGGCCTCACCCCAAATACTCTCCATCGTCAAGTGGCAGCCCTGTCCACCATTTGGTCTGGCGATCNCCCATCTCAGCGGCTTTGGAGGCGGCTTTCAAGCCAGCAAAATTGCTCAGCTTTCTGTAATAGCCAGCAGATGAAGCGGAGTTTTCCTTGCAGCAGGGGCTGGAGCGCGCCTGGTTCTTTGGGTAGGAAATACTGCAGGCTTCTGGACTGCGTCTGCTTCTCGAGGGAGAGGCTGGCTGTTGTAGTTCCACCCACAGGCTGGAAGGAGGGGGTTTGAATAAAAGAGAAGAAAAGCCCCAATACTTCGGTCCCTCCGTGAGGGCGACCGCAGCAACTAGGTTGGGGCGAGCGAGGACGCGCTCCCTGCCGTCATTCCCCCCTCCTCTTCTTTTTTTTTTTTTTTTTTTAAGAGCTCTTCCTTCCCACCCCCTCCTTTTCTCTCTTTAGTAAGCGGTTGGAGGGATCGTGAGAAACCGCGAGGAAGCCGATCCGAGGAGATCCGGACTTCCCTCGTCTTGCTATTTTCTCCGAAAGGGCTGCCACCCTCTCTCGGTTCACACCCCCATCTCTAGACCCTGGCAATTGACATTACTTAAGAGCAGCAGGAGGAGGGGGGGTTCCGCTCTAACGGGGGGAGGACGGAGAAAAGCAAAGCAAAGCAAGACCTGTTTCCCCCTTCTCGGTGTTTTGATTTTTTTTTAAAAACAAATCTTATTTTTAATTTTTGCGGCGGTTAACGCGGCTGGAGCTAGTGAGCATTTAGAAGGCAAAGAAGTCGGAGGGAGGAAAGAAAGAAAGAAGCCACCTTGATTAGGACTGTCAGGAATAGTGGCTTTAACCGAAGAAAGGCCTGGGGCACGACTCCCTGCCAACGAGTTCCCTGCATCCGAGATAAAGATTCTAGCTACATGGGCAAACGCTTGGAACAGCAGCAAATGTTCCCACAGTACACATACTACTATCCCCATTATCTCCAAACCAAGGTATGTGGCGAGCTTCCTGGGGTTGTCCAGCGTGCCAATCCCAGACCATTTGGCACTTGGGGGAAATGGTGAATATAGTTGACTGGTGGAGATTGCAGGCGTTTTGGTGCGCGCTCTCTCTCTCTTTCTGCCTTTGAGTTCTGTATCAGGAAGAAGTGAGTAGAACTCACAGCCAAACAAACCAGCCCAGAAAGAAAGAAGGGAGAATATTGGAATGGATTTCTAGGAGAGTGTGCCTTCAAAACTAGAAGGAATGGTCTCTTTGATCAAGCTCTTTGCTTACTGGGGGCAACGTACATGTGCCCTTCTTGAATAAAATTGGAAAGAGCAATGTCCAGTTGGCACACTGACTGTGTCCCAGAACAATCATTCTTGGCACTGACTCAATAAAAAAAAACTTGGCTGGCTGGGAAGATTTAGAATTGATGGGGGCTGACACAAGGGGGGAGGAAACAAGAAAACTCATGATAAAGTAGGCATAGTGGATCCTCCCTGATTTTATCTGGCATGTATTTGGAAGCCAGCAGGGTCAGAGGAGGGCACAGAGATGACTCAATCTAATCTTTGGGGAATTCAATGGGGACACATGCCAATGTGCTTGTTAATGTTCCATTAAATATTGATCATGGGGTAATCATATACTATTATGTTTGAAAAGTCTGAGAAAATCTAGTACTTTTTGTTGGTGTGGGCAAGCAAATTGCAATCCACATGGATTTTTTTTGGTTTTTGGTTTTTGTCTTATGTTGTGTGCATGTTGTAATGAAATAGCAAATTGGCTCTTAATCTGCCAGAAAATAATGTATAATAATTCAGCTAAAATGTGCACTGAAAATATTTTTCAAATGCACATTGCACAGCTTGGATAACCTGGATTTTCTGACAAACTTTTCAAAATAAAGCATCATCTTATTCTACCTACAAATCATTTACTGTTACAATTTCTAAAACAAATATTCAAAGTTGGATTTTAGAAAAGTAGTCTGCAATGTCAACTGTTTATTCTTTTTCACTCAAAAGGAAAACAATCTCTTTTAGTTTTTGGTGACCCATCAGAAAGCCATGAAGTGAGATGTTTGGTGGGCAGTGGGATAGAATTGAATGAACAATATTTTTACCTCTGGGTGTGGTAATTAAGTTCAGTTTTTCAGTTCAGAAATGACGTTTTCCTGCTTACCTATTCTTAAGTCAAATAAACTGGTTGTGAAAAGCACCAATAATGTATTTGTTTGACACTCCTGATGACCGGGCTTCTCTCCCTACAGTGATTTCTTCCTTTCTTTTCGTTTCTAACCTGGGTATCACTAATCTATTGAATAAACAGTGGCATGTGCCAGTTATACTAAGCATTTTAGGCATTTTTGAAAGTTGTTCTCATAATTGGGGTTATTTTTTCTTTTCAAGGTCGATTGAAATAACATTTTGCCTCTGCGGCCGTTCATTATATATGTTGCTGCTGCTTCTATTTTAGCGGGAGCAACAAACTGCTTTATTATCTATAGCTTGACCTTTTTGAGGAATGAAAATGGGACACATGGAATTCCTAAAAACTGTCCCATCAAGACTATGAAGCAATTTAGGAAGATTTGTTTTTCCTTTAAAGAACAACAGCTTCAAGTTTGGGATGAGGCACATTGGATGTTGCACTCTTTTGACTCATGGAGTGTAGTTTAAACAATGCCAGTCTTGCTTGCTGCATTGAAGCTTCTGATTTTGACTTTGCAAAACACACGTTTGAGAAAACCTATTATTGTGATTAACTATTATTGTGATGAACCCTAATGCATACAATGGTAGAATTCTTTTAAGATGTGCAAAATTGCATTTGAAATGGCTAGGAAAAGACATTTTTCTTCTTGTAGATGCCCATTATGGCAGGACCTTTCCAAAGCCTAGATAATATTGTATATTAAACATTATCTTTAGTGATGATATTTTATTCTTTACTGAAGTTCAATTGACGTATTAGCTACAAATGTTTACATTGTTAGAATTGTTTAACATAGTTCAATATCAGAACTATAAAGCAAAAATCTAATTATCAATTTCTTTCTCTATATTTAACCATTTTTCTCTTTTACATGATCATAGACATCAAAACAAGACTATGAAATAAACTTCACACCTGTGTGTGTGTGCGTGTGTGTATGCGCGCATGTATGTGTGCTCACATTATCCATTATTATACCCATTTAAAGTGATACAGAAAAGCAGCACTTTTTAAAGTCATGAGTTTCTGGAAGTGATTTACTCTTACAGAATCTTTTATTTGGATAATGATCAGTTATCCAATAACTATAAAGGCATTAATCTGTGCCCCAAATATAATGTATGTATTACATAATTACGTATTTTTAAAAGAAGTTCAAAAATAATTTCAGGGGCATAACCCAAATGTAGCATAAACAGAATGTGCATCAATATGAACTCCTATTTGGAAATCAATAACATTAGTGGTAGGGGATTTAATGGAAATTATATAGATTTATTACAAATGTTAAAGTGGAACAAATGAATCATAATGGAATTTGTTTCATTGTTTTATTTAATATATTATTTACTTTACTTTTTCTTTTCTTCCCAATAACCTTCGTTTTGTTTTAAATTATGCCATTATGGGCTATGGTTTTAGGATTTATTACAAAATAAACTTCCGACTCTTACTTATAGATAATCCATCATACAGTGTCAAGTAAAATTCGAAGATCTTATTCATTTTTATATGATGAATTGTGTGTAGTACAACCAACATCTCATACAAATATTAAATGTTTTGTTTTACACATTAAAATACAATGTTAGTTTTAGACTCACTCAGTCTAAACACATTTAGAAATAACATTTGTAAAGTTTTGAGTCCCTCTTCACCTTTAAAATGCTAATGAAAATATAAGTGTGATGGGAAACTGTCAGACTTTAGTAAAGTGAGTTTGAAATGTTATTAACACTATGACCACATTTTTAATATTGAAAATAGTTATTATAAACATGAAGTGAATCTTATCACACATTTTGTGACCATTATAAAATACATTCCAGTATATTATTAGATTACAAAACCATATTTTAAAAAACTTTGAATGGTCTTAATGCAAAAGAAGTATTGGTTACTATATGCTTTACTTAAACTTGTTGTAAAAGTATAAAATTTAAAACTGGTTTATGAATTGTTAATTCAAAACATCAACATATTCTGTAGTTGCGTTGCTAAACTCTAGCAATCAATAAATAAAATGATTTCTGCTAATCATAAAAGAGGTTATTCTTGGAAGTTCTTTACTAGCTAACAAAAGGACTTAACTTTTTATATATTGGGAATGATTGCATTTGAGTCATTATTGGAGCTAAGTTAGTTTTGGAAATGGAAGGGTTTTTTTTAAAACTAATGAACCAAATCAGACTATGCCTTACGTTATATTTATTTATGAATAGACAAAATTTGATTCACTGTGTTCAAGAAAGAGTGCAATATTGAAAATTAACTTCTTTTCCATTGTATGTATAGCTAGTTGAGTTGAGGTTTTTGGACTGGCATAATTTGAATGTTAGAATAAGTCATTATTTTATTCTGATTGGCCAACTAAAACTTTACAAAGAAAGTGCCTAAAAGAAAATACCACATGCTTAATATGTTGGAAAAATTAAGATACTACTTAATTTATCCGACAGTAAAAGCATCATATATTATGTAAATTCAGCAGAAAAGTTTACAAAATATGTTTGAAATGTGTTTGAAATAAAAGAGTAATGTTGATACAGAGAATTGCAATTGCATTTCAATATTTATTTTTTACTATTTATTATTATTTTTATTATTTTTTATTATTATACAATTGTATCACAGCGGCCAGTTGTTTCGCCGGATTTGGCATTGGTTACTAGTCGGGCCCCACCCAGGGGCCTAGGACGTCATAACATATTTTCGTAATCCAAGCAGTGCGGCTTTTGGCATTTGACTGATGGTGATTTTGTCAATTTTTAACTGTTTTAAATGTAATTCC